ACTCAGATTCTTTAAGCATGGCCTTTTTTATTTACTAACTATTTCTTTCAATTTATGGATAATATATGTGCTGAGTATTTAAAAAACAAGGTTGATAAGAATTTTTATGGTAATATGTATTTATTTATACATACACTTAGTACTCTGCAAGCATAGATAAGTGTACTTTCCATTAAATCGGTGAAGTTTACATTCTGGATCTACTTTAAATGCTGTCAGAGAAGTTTTTTGCATATGAGCACATTGATAGTCAAAAGTTTTTTAGGTTTTGGGTTTCTTTTTATTCTTATCCACTTACAGCATTGATGTCTTTATTTTATTAGTCAGGGACATAATTAGAAATTAAACCATTCTTCCTTGTTGACATGTCAAGTATGAAAATATAACTCACCTTGGGACCTAGCAAGATCATGGAGCAGATCCTCCTGGAAGCTATGCTAAGCACATGGAAAATAAAGAGGTGATTTGTGACAGCCAGCATGGTTTCACTAAGGGCAAATCGTGCCTGACAAAGTTGGTGGCCTTCTATGACAGAGTTACTGCAGTGGTGGATGAGGGAAGAGCAACTGACATCATCTACATGGGATTGTGCAAAGCATTTGACAGTGTCCCATACATCATCTTTGTCTCTAAACTGGAGACACATCAATTTAATGGGTGGAGCACTCATTGGATAAGGAATTGGCTGGATGATCCCATTCAACCATTTGTAGTCAACAGCCGATGTCTGAGTGGAGACTGGTGATGAGTGACCCTCAGAGGTCTGGCGTTGTTTAAGATTTTTGTCCACGATAATGGCAGTGGGATTGAGTGCACACTCAGCAAGTTTGCCAACCACACCAAGCCATGTGTGACTGGTTCCCTCCAGTCAACACACTGGAGGGAAAGGATGCCATCCAGAGGGATCTTGATAGGCTTTAAAGGTGGGTCTGTGCAAACCTACCCAAGTGCAATAAGTGCAAGTTCCCACAACAAGGCAGGTCAGAAATCAGGAATCAGGCAGTGCAGTACAGCACTGGCTGAACTTGCCTGTCAAGGCAAGAGGCAGACTGATGCTATTTGCAGAGTGTCGTGCTGAAAGCAGAGCTTCTTCTTTGGAGCTCATCTCCCTGTGAACACAGTGAGGCTGTTTGGGAGTAGTGCTGGCTTATGTCCTATCACCTTGGCGGGGGGGAATTCCTGCATCTTCCTGGCTGTCCCAGTCATAGCTGAATTCCTGCAGTTCTTGTCAGCATAGGCATCCCTGTGCACACCATCCCACTGATCACCAGAATTAGAGAGCACATATTACCAATGTGGATGGTAATGTGTGCGCAATTAGAAGTGCTGAGAACAACTGTGTCCTATGTCTCCAGCACAGAAAGTGCAGTGAGTGTGAGCTTTTTAAGAGGCTAGGGCTGAAACATAACCATTTCTAGAATAGCTAGTTTAAAACTAGTTTATCTGTTAGGGCTGACAGCTGGAAGATCCTTTTACTCTCCCTCTCAATTCTCTCTTCTAGCCTTAAGCTTCTTGTTGTGATATTGAAGGCTCACAATTAGAGGATCTGGTACAGCCTTAGCCTCTAATCACCACCTAAAATGCTGTATGGTTGAAGAGGTGTAGGTTCAGTAGGCACCGACCTCACTGAAAGGACGAGATGATATGGAATAGATTGCTTTTATTTTACCTTTTATCAACCTGACTCAACCACCTCCAGCTCCTTTTCCAAGACAAAATTTCCTATAATTATATGTTTCTCAAGTAATGTCAAACTGATGGCAAATTGTGTAAATACCTGTTGGTGATTGAATCCTCTGAAAATCGGTCCTTAATACGAAGATTTCCTACAAGAAAATAAAAAAAAAAAAAATACAGTCAAAGAATTAATAGAATGAGAATATAACTATTACTTTCTTTCACTGAGTTTGTAGCTTACGAAGGGAATATCAGGCACAGACCAGGTCTTTGGTCTGAGTGCAAACGAAATGTGCAATGCGGGTTTTCTCTCTGTTTAATAATTTTAATCACTTTAATATTTACTGCTGCATTTTTGAGGGTCATGTGTGCTATGCAGTCAGCCTCAATGATAAAGAACGAAGGTCAAGAAAGTAACTTTCTTACTAAATATCTAAAAGGACTATGTTAAAAGAGCAAGATGGTAAAAAAAAAAAAAAGGAGTTCTGAACAGAGTGGAAAAGATCAAGATTAAATGAGTAACAGACTTTTCCCTTTTTGTAACCTCTGTGTGTGTGTGTGTGTATGGACACATACCTACCAAAGGACTTGTGAAGAAACCACTGATACTTTTGAAACTGTGGGATGAGTTCAGTGACAGAGGGGACAGAAAGATAAATGACAAAAAAAATTGCATTAAAACTATCATGTTCTGCCCATGTAAGAGGACTGGGATGGAAGCCAGAAACAAACATAAATGACCCATGAGAGAATTGATAAATATTGAGGAAAAATAGGATAATGCTGAAAGAGGTTAGTGTTAAATTAATTCAACAAATTGTCAGTAGTAGGAGGGAGTTTTTCCAGGCTTTTCAAATCAGTGGAAAAGTGATGAAGGAGCAGAGGAAGGAGAGAAAAAGATTTAGGAATCACTCAATCTGATGAGATTTTCTCAGGAGACTCTGTCTACTGTTTTGTTCTGTTGGTCTCATGACCTGTTGGTTTTTTGTTGGAGTTTGCTTCAGTTTGTGTTTTTTCAAAAGACTCTGTTCTCTTCTCTCTTCTGTTACAAACTCAAGCAAAATTGTCTGACAGCAAGGTCTTCCCAGTGGATAATATGCACAAGGGCTGCGTGTACATAAGGATGCAAGTCTCATACAGGACTGTGCTGTACAGCCCTTCCCCCGTGGAGTCCTTTTGCACACAGATGTGCAGGGCACATCACCATGTTGCACAGCGTGGCCATACTTTCCCAGAGGCCTCATGGCCAGTAAGCGAATATGGAGGCAACTCACTACTCAAAGAATGAACAAGTCAGGCTGAGAAAAAGAAAAAGCAAATGTTAACCTTTTAAAAGTCCTTCATCTTTATTGTCACCTACAGTTTTATTAATGAGTCTAACTGGCCGTATTCAAACAAAATGATGTAAAATTTAATTGGGTAAACGTGGTGAGCGTTAGCTGGAGCTGTTTGCAGTCATGTATAATTACATGAAGCTCATACTTCAATAATTAGTGGAGCAAAATGCAATTATTTTGCAATTAGGGAAGCTCTCATTTCACCTTTTCTGACATGGATCCTCATTTAATTTAGGTTTTTATTTACTGACAGTCCTACTCCATTAGATATAGAAGACATTCCCTCGCCCAACAGGATATTTTTGAATGAGGCAATATATCCAAGAAGACCTAAGAAAATAATGAATCCCAAAACATGTCTGGTTGTCTGGGGAATTTTGGATCCAATTTTTCTGACCAGTAGAAGAGCCAAGTGGTAGAAGCACCTGCTGCTGGTGAAAAGCAAAATCCTTCTTAGGGTAGTCAATGCCCCCCAGCACTCCCTGGCATTCACAAAGCTCCCATGAGTCTCTTGCCTCCTTCTCACACCACACCCAGGAGCCCCTTACTCTTTTTTTCCAGATCTTGGGCTTTGAGTGAAGACTTAGGATAGCAATTAACCTGTTATATCATATTAAAAGGCATAGAAAATTTGTTCTTCTCTGCAGATACACTGAGAGTCACCTATGCATTGGTCATTGGCTCCCTCTGGCTGAGTAGGAGGACACAGTGACCGTGACACAACACAGTTAATATCAGTTTCCTCCTCATCCCAGTTCTCATGAACGCCTTGATCATCCCTTCCACTACCACAATGTCATACAGCTCAGTGACCTTCCCAGCAGTGCCTCTGCTTCTCTGCCAGCCTGGGCACTTCTTTTCCAGCTCTCTCTGACCTTTCCAACCAGAGCCTATTTTCCTAACCTCTCTTTACAAAGTAACACAAGATAAATAACTGTTATCTTTCATGAGAGCTAACATTTAACATTCTTCTTTCTTTCTCTAAGACATTAAACATAGAATTAGCAAGTCCAAATAACACTTGAAATATTTCCCAAACAGGAGAGGAATTAAAACTTTGATAGGAATATGCTCACAGTTTCTGAGAAATTAAAGATACTTGGAATCACAGAAGCACTAAATTATTTACTGCTCCACAACTTAAAAGCAGTCTGGAAACACAGAAGGATATTTTATTTTACCCCTTCAGGGATGAAACCTTCAGAGGACAAGCATCTGTCCTTTTCCCTGGTCCTTCTAGTGTACACCATGCCCCCAATTTTTATTTCATTTTGTAAAGGTCATTTATTGTATCTTCAATTATTCTAAGTGTCACTGTAAAGTTCTATATCTTAACATTCTCTTAATTCAGCCTAGATGACATAAGTTGTTTATAAGTAAAATCTCCCTTCCAAATTTGCACTACTCAAACCTGGAAGGCAGCAACAGGGAATGCAACACTCTTTCATTTCTGAGATCATTCCTGGAGCCAAATTAACAAAACACTTGGTAGTGGGTGAGCCAAACTAGAGACATTTATTTTCTTAGTACTCCTCTAAGTCTTTATTGCTAAGAGGACCAATAGAGCATATAGAGGTTTGGGGGTGGGCTTTGGTTGTTAAGACTGTTAATGTCATAATTACATACAAAAGTCCCTTAGATCAGACAGACACTAATTTATTATTTCATCCCTTCATGGACTGTTTGAAATGAGAAGGGATTACTGCTGCACTGAGGATGTCTGCAACAGGAGATTTAGGGAAACAGTGCTATCTGCTTTGGCAAAGGCATTTTGCTGAAGGAGAGCATCTTGCAGCAGGAGCTACCTCATCACTCCTAATGTGTTGAATGTATTGGATGTATTCTCAATGGGTAATATGTGATTAATAGGTATTATTTCCTTATTTCAGACAGTAATATGGATAGTGAGTGCACATCAATAGATGCATATAAACCATTATTATAGAGAGTCTATTGACCCAGAAGGCATTAAAACTGATAAACCACTAATTGAGAGGTCTATTTATTATTAATTTGTACAGCACTTGCAAATGAAACCTTGAAATAAAGCATGACTAACTTCCATCACAGGATGTTAATCACCATAAGAAGTAAGATCCAACAAAATTTTCATGGCTAATAGTGCTTTGGTATTTGTATCTGCAGAAAGCCTTGAATTTGATTCTTATCCTGTCATAGAAAAGATACTACCAGTCACTGTTGCATGTTCATGGTAAATAAATCATACTATGCCTGACAAATTCTGTAATTTCTTTGTCATAGAGTTTAATACTGAAGATAAAACGGAGTTCTGTTGAGCTATCAAGTATGACTTAATAGAACATTACTGCCTCTATTGAAAATTATTTCTTTTGCTAATTGCTTTCCATTAAATTTTTATCATCAGTAAGGGAACATTATAATTTTCTAATAAAACAAAGGAAATCTTATTTTCCAGGCTTGCTTTTTACCACCATTTGGATCAATTCAAACAAGTCCCATTTTCCTCTGAGAAAGATGAAGTTGCATCTCCAACCAGTTGTGTAATGAACCAATGAGTAAACTGTTGCAAGTAATGAGCAGATCAATGAGATTCACAATAAATACCAAAGTAAAATCAAGAAGATATTTTTTAAGAGAAGAAAAAAGCTTCCCTGATATGATGCATGAATTTGCTGCAGCACTTCTGAAGTCAGCAAGCAACTGGTAATCAGTAGGCCAAGAACAATTTTTAAAAATTGCTGTGCTCCAGAAACAATACATCATCTCCTCCTACTATTGGTCAGTGCTGTGCTGCTGACATTACAAGACAGATTTTTTCATTTCAGTGCTTCATACAATGAAGAACTTGGTGTTTGGCTATACCAAAGGGCAGTGAACAGAAAACCAACTGGCATCTTCAGAGAGCAGGACTAGCAGAAAATATTTCTACTTATATTACCTTTGCAACATGTCCAGTGTACCTTTGAATCTTCTGAACTGCATACATTATTGCATGCAGTCAGGCTACAGAAACTAGCATTCAGACAACCAGCTTTAAGACATTTGCCTCTACTAACCAAAGAAGCTTAGCAATAATAAGTAAAGGAGTAGGGCAATTCAGAGCTGAAGTTTTACTTAGGTGTTCCACACCACCCTCAGGAAAATCCTGTCCTTCCCCAAAGGCTCCTTCTGGCCTCCACCGCACCTGTTATCTCTCTCTATATAGGTATATAAGTAAAATGTCTAAAATTATCAAACAACATCACCATTCTCCCTTAACGTATTGAGGTGTATTGGACACCAGACAAGTGAACATGGCTGAAGTTTGTAGCCTCAGACACCTTGCCCCCTAAATGGAACACCTACATTTCCCATAAAGTCAGTGATGGAGACCAACACCTCTGAAGACCTCTGGGAGCAGATCTGAAACCAAGTCCGTTGATACATTCCTCAGGAAACTGTTCCTCCCTGGTGTTTATGAAGGTAGGCACCAGTCACAGACTCAGATAATCCAACTGCTGCATCATCTGCCCAGAATAGGCACCTAGTGGAAGAGGACAAGGTCTTTAAAAAGAAAAAATTAAAAATCCAGCAGAGGCAACAATATCCTGCCTGTATTTGTTTAATCATTTGGTGATTAGAAGGGTCATATGTTTTATTCTCCCTCAGCTACAGAGGTAGGAGGAGACATAATGCACTAAGAGATCTACAGAAGACGTCCCATTGCCAATGAGATAAGTCATGGTTGGAGGTAGTTCCTGGCCAGCAGTACTCAAGAGCGAGTCTCACTTATATCAAGAAGTGAGCAGAACTGGGATTTTCAGTCTTATTTCCTGGAGAGTGTAGAGTTTTTGTGTGACACTAGCTGTGGGAAATATGCAGGAACAGCCTGTTCTGTGGGACAACACTGGATATCCTTCCTCCCTGAGCAACAGACAGCCTCCTTTAATTTTTTCTTCTCTAATTTTCGGGTTGTGCAAAGAAAGTCCATTTCCAGCCACTAGATATAGAGGTGGCTTTTACTCCAGTTCTTCTTCACCTGAGTCTTAAGGGTATTTGCGTGTATTTTGGCAGAATTGTATTCCAATTCACTTGTCCACAGAAGGCAAAAATGTCCACTTACAGCATTTCCACTTGCTGGGCTTCAGTTGCAAAAGAATGCCATGTATCAGGTATGCTTTCCCCCCAGATTGGGCTTTTCTGCATTTACATTGGTGAACCATGATTGCCAACCACAGGGTTTTCAAGAAGAGAAACTGTCAGTGCCTGTAGACAGGTTCCTAGGAACTTCTGTATGTTTTAAATGTGTAAATCCCAATCTATCAGGCTGAAATCTTTCAGCGAGTGTGTGAGTGATCACGGTATTGCTTGTGCTTTTCCTCTGAACCTAAGTGTGCAATTTGTGACTCACGCCAAAACTCAAGCCTCTGAATTCCTTAGACTTAGGTCTAAGTCAGCCTTCATTAATTAAGCAGCTGACGTAGTTGTGTTACATGCCAAAGATAGACAAAAGCGTGTTGTAACAATTACACTTGTCTGCTCTTTGAACAGAATTATCTCTGAAGGGGATTTCATGTTGAATTTGATTGCTTTCCATGTAAAATCTATAACCACAGTCCCTAACAGGCTTTCTGCAGTCTCTACTTCTCCCCTTTTTGAGGGTACAAGCATGGCTTTTTTTCTCCCATAATTGTACTATATTGTCTTGTTAGCTTTATAATCCAAGGGGGTTTTTGCAATTTCTAATTCACTTGACTCAAATTGGAGATGGAGACATCATTAAGGTTGAGTGAAGGTTTCTTGAGAACTAGACAAAAAATTGCAGACTGATGAATAATTTCTGAGAGAAGTAAAGAAATTGTGTTCTGAGAAAAAGATTATATATTTAATTTCTATTCACATTAACAATTTAAATTTTGCAAGTGATTAATGTTCCAGGAGACTAGTGAAAGCTCAGTAGTGTTCAGCAATCTATGGGTAAGTACATTTTGATTTCTTCCTATGGTGGAAAATGTGTATGTGAGAACATTCAGCAGTTCCTTGTCCATTTATACACTTACTACAATTCTCACCAACTGTGCTCATAACTCTTGTTCTCTTTTTCATTTGGTTTTATGGTTCCTTTTTTAACTTTTCCTTTTTTATGATGTTTCAGATGTGGTTGCTCAGATGCAAAAATATCTTAAGTAAATAGTAAAAATATGTCCTAATATGTAATATGTAACAATTGCATTGAACTGTCACGGCAATTACTCTTTCATATGCTTTACACCTGTGGCTTTTTAACAACAAACTTAGTTGAATACATTATCAATAAAAAGTCTGCTAGCATGTTTTAAACTGTTCTCTTTTATAATTTCTATTATAGCTCAGTGTTCTCTAACTAGTCTACCCATTCAGGTGGATGTTGTAAGTCTGAATGTGAATTTTCCTAATACACCATAATTATAGAACTGCTAAATAATGTTTTGATCACCCACAGGGAAAGTAATATACAGTATTCCTGATTTCTTTATTCTTACGCATTTAGTCACAATATATATCATATTAGTTTGAGCAAAATAGAGGTACATCCATTTTTGTTTATTACAGCTTAAACGAAAACTTCTGAGAGGACTGTTTGAACACTGCATGCAGTGGTATATCTAGGGTAAGGTAACTTTTTCTAATGGCAGTGGTGATAAGATGGTATTAAACCACAAGAAGTTTTAAGAGCTGGGAAAAGAAAGCTGGATCAAAGGTTCTTGAACATTTTTTTATTTTTTTTACCGGTATCCAAGTTTCCAAGTTCTTCATTCGCACAATACCCTGTTTCAGAACATTTATGTTCAGTGTGTGTCCCTGAACAAAAATGTATTGTTTATTAAAGTCACTTTTCCCAATAATATATCCCACGAGGTTACTGTTACTAACAGATTGTAATTCTAGCTGACTTTCCTACAGGGTTCCATTCCAGAAAATATTTATCACATGACTAATTTTGAGCAAAATGTGCCCTACTAAGGCCTTGTTCCTAAGGTTTGAATCACTTTCCAAGGTGAACAAATTCAGTATTCTTTATCACATAAAGTCTGATACAATCCTTTTTGTAACTTCTGAAAACTTCTGTAGAGCAGATTTGAATTGATTTTTTTTTATACTGTAACTGCAGACCTCCTGAATGTCACACACATCTGCACCAAGTTGATTCCTTTATCTGTTTGGTTCTGTCTCTTTTTCCTACATTGACATGTCAGTCCATATATATATTTAAATGGATATAAACCAGTGTATTTTTAGCAGTGAATGACAGTGTTTACTTGAATTGATATCACTTTCATTGACACATCTTTCCTTATCCTTACTTAAAAATGTTAAGAATATGTTTCCATTCACATTTTGAGTAACCTACGTTTGAATGCAACAAATCCACTCTTTCTCACGACTTTTTAAATGGAGAAAACAACCTTGTTTGATCACTTACTCATTTTCTCCATGCTTTATGCAGGCATTGTTCATCACAAAGAATTTCAAAGTCCTGGGCTGCACAAGATAGACAATAGAGAAGATTTTTTATTTTTCTTGTCTTTCATTTTGAACAATTACTTTCTTAACTAATCAGCTGTTACTTCTCATAGAAAATATCCTTGCTGGGAAAAAAAAATCCACTATCAAACTTGCACAGTTTCTGGAATTATTTTTCTTTTTAGGGAGAGGTATATGTATGTACATGTATATATATATATATGTATTTGTGTGTTTCTATGTGTGTAATTACATATGTGTGTGTACACATGTGCATTTAAATTACATCAACTCAATTGTATTCTAAACTTTTCCTAATGTAAGCTACTTTGTTTCAGGACTATTCAGGTAAATAGGATGTATAGGTTTGGGATAGAAAGTTTAGATTAAAAACCCTGTCACAATGTTGGCAGTCTGTGCAGGAATCTGGAGAAGCCTATGACTGAAGAGAATGGCAGACTCTCTGTACATATGGTGAGTGGTAATGCTGAGTAATGAATTTGCATATTACCCCATTTAGCTGAAATCATGTTGGGCTGAGGAAGTAACATCCCTTTGGTGTAAGCACAGGCTCTCTGAAGAGATTGCAAAGCCTCAAGTGCTTCAACTGAGGCCCATGTAAAGATGGTTTAACTGAAGTATCCGCAGTCAACTTTTAAAGGCAGCTGAGCAGCCAGAGATACAAGTCTGCAATTCTGGAAATGTTTTGCAGCTCCTGAATACTCTTTGAAAGTATATATATTTTATATGCTGACAAACGCCATTTCTGAAATCAAAAGATTTTTTCATGAAGACAAAAATTCACCTTTCCAAGAAGCAGGTTTGCTTCACCTACACTTGTCATAGGAAGGATTTGACTACCAGAATATCAAATGGAAAAACAGGCAGACCTATTCAGAGCTGATTTAAAATACATACAATGAAATGGAAATCAAGAAGGCTCAAAGAGACATAAAGGTGGGCTAAACCTGACCCTGAGAATTGAGTAAAAGTAGCTAATAGGACAGCATTGGTGCTCAAAAGCAGTAAAGTCAGCAGATAAAATACGTGGAATCAAACTTTTGGTCTCATTTTTTAAGAAGTAAGTACTAAGAACTTTCCTTCTTTTGTGTGTATAAAAATAGTTGTCCTCTTAGTTTAGTTGATTTTCTAAAAGTTGGTTCTGCAAGAATACCAACTGAATCAAAGAAAAAATTTATTGATATGGGTATGATTATAGATGTGGGAGATAAAGATCATGTGATAGAAAGAGAGAGGGAGAGAGAGATTTAGGCATAGGTCAAAGCCTAATATAAAGGAAATGAAGAATCACCTGGAAAAAAAAAATTACATGGATGATTTTCCTAAGTGAAGCCAAACCAATGGACAGTTCTTGACTTACAGATACAATCTAAAACATAGATTTGTTTTCTTTGATGAAAGAAAGTGAAAGACAAATCTTAAGAAATAATTAACTACACGTAAATTCAAGTAGCTGAGTCACTTCCACAGTGCTAGATGGAAAGAACTCACAAGTTTATAAATGTGATAACACCTCTTATTCATAGATTCTGCTTTAATAATGTAATTTTTCATGATTCTGAAAAGAAAGCAAATGGAGATTCTTTCCTCCTGTACATGATTTATATTCACTGTTTTAGTTTTTCCCCAAACTATGGAGTACAGCAGAGACCAGACCATGACAGAATTTAGCCCTTAGCTGTAATCACAGGAAGCAATAAAGTATTATGTTTGCAGTGATTAATGTGCACCTATCATTAGGTAAGACAAAATTAATCACAGAATTTAGCTCTCATATTTTTTAAAAATCATCCTTAAAATCATTCTAACACAGATTCAGAAACTCTATCTGAATTCCCATTCTTATTTCTCCTTTGGCCTTTCAGTGTTCCCTGAAACTTATCTCTCCATCCATTCACTTTTCCATTTCTTAGCACTGCCTTTTAGCTGTCAAGTCTATCATTTTTTGACACTCCATTATTTCATGAAAACATTCTGGTCATAAATTCCCAGAGGTTTAGAAACGTAGTGGCGGGACAGTAATTTCCAATTGTGCTGGAGAAAATTGTTGTACACAGCCCCCTGAGTACTACAGTACTACAAAGTGGCAACGCTCACACCATTGCCACCAACGGGGGAATAAGCCAGGCCAAACAGAGCAACAAATGTTCCTTGCTGCCTCTCAACATGAAAAACAGAAGACTAATCACCTCTAGGGTATGTATGGCGATGCACCCAGCATAGGGAACACACAGAAGGGACTGGGGCTCCACACCCGGTCAGAAAGGTATGATATCATAGGAATAACTGAAATGTGGTAGGACAACTGACATGACTGGGGGATCGTGATGAATGGCAATAGGCTGTTTCATAAATACAGGTAGGGAGGAAGAGGCAGAGGAGTTTCACTTTATGTTAAGGAGAACCTTGAATGTATAGAAGTAAACTATGACAATTATGGGAGCCCTATTGAATGCCTCTGGGTCAAGATCAGAGGGGTCATCTCCAGTGCAGAGGTTACAGCAGCATCTGTTACTGGTTTCCACACCAAGACAATAAGGCCAAAGAAGCATTACTGTAGGGAACCGAGATTATATGATCCTGGGAGAAACTTAAGGGAAACTTGGCAAGATAAAAGCAGACATGGTGAGACGTATCCCTGTGTGTGGGAAATTGCTTGGGAGTATTTTTCTCATGGACAGTGAATGCTTAACTAAAAAGTAGATATAGAGAAAAGTTGCTAACAGGAATTTACTGCTGATGTAACAGGGTATATAAACCGTGAAAGAACTGTAATAAGTGATTCCATTATACCACATGGGGTCTGTGCCTGAGTAAGTCACGCATTACTTGGGTCACTCAAGCAAGCTTCAGGTCAACAGAACCGCGTTCTTATGAGTGACTCCAGCTATCCAGATATTTGTTGGAAGAACAGTACAGTAGTTCACATGTCATCCGTCAAGTTCCTGAAATGCATAGAGAACTGCCTCCTCATAAAAATCTTAGATGTGCCAGCTGGGAGTGAGGTAGTGCTGGACTTACTAATCTCAAACCTAAACAACCTGTTTTGTAATATTTCAGTTAGCAGTAGCCTTGACTGCAGTGATCGCAATATTGTGGAGTTTGGGATCCAGCTGGGCATGCTGAAGATTAGCGCTAAGAAAAAGGTTTTATATTTTAGAAGAGCAAATTTCAACTCACTCAAAGCTCTGTTGGGAGGAATTCTGTGGGCGGTTATAATGGAAGATAAAGGAGCTAGGAGTGCTGGGAGTTTTCCAAGAATGCTCTCCTGGAAGCACAAAAACAGTTCCTCCTCTTTAAAGGTAAAGGAAACAGACAGAGCAAGAGACCCCCTTGGCTTAACTGTGAGCTTCTGAGTCTGCTCAAAACCAAAAGAGAAGAGTACCAGTCATGGAAAAGTGGATGAATACTCATTGAGAACTACAACATTGCCCCAGGGCATGCAGAGATGCACTTCAAAAAGAAAAAGCTCAAACCAAATTGAAATTGGACAGAGATGTTAAAAGCTAAAAGAAATGGTTTTTCAGGTACATAAACAGTAAGCAGAAACAGAAGGATAATATTGGCCCACTGTCAAACAGGAGAAGTAAATTAGTCACCAACAGTGTGAAAAAGGCAGAGGTTCTCAATACTTTCTTCACCTCTATCTTTACCAGCACTGCTGGGCCCCTGGCCTTGGAAACAATAATCCAGGTTGATGACCCACCATCAGTGAAGAAAGAGATGGGGTGTGAACTACCACAGGAGCTTGACTCGTACAGTTGATGGGCCTTGTCAATATCCATCTGAGGGGGTTAGGAGAGATGATTGTGAGGCTGCTCTCCATAATCTTTGAGAATCCATGGAGACATTGGGGGACACCCCAAAAGACTGGAAAAATGCTAATGTCAGCCCCATCTACAAGAAGGGCTTGAAAGAGGATCCAGGAAATTATAGACTCATCAATTTTACTTCAATCCCTGGGAAAGTTATCAAATAAATCATCCTGGGGGCTATAACAAGTAAAATGAAGCATATGATTGGGAAAAGTCATCATGGATTCACCAAGAAAAAGTTGTGCTTGACAAATCTGATTGCCTTCTACAACAAAGTAACCTGATCAGTTGATGTGGAGCTAGTGGTGGACATTGTCTACCTGGATTTCTCCAAGGCTTTTGATACAGTTTTCCACACCCTTCTCCCAGAGAAACTGATGTGTGATGATCTAGACAAATGATCCATGCAGTGGGTGGGGAACTGGCTGACAGGTCACACTCCAGTGGTGGTGGTAAATGGCTCCTTTTCAAACTGTCAACCTGTCATGAGTGGAGGTCCCCAGGAATCAATATTGGACCCAAAACTGTTTAGTATATTCATAAGTTGTCTGGATGATGTGATCAAGTGTACCCTGATGAAGTTTTCCAATTATACCAAACTGAGTGGAAAGCGGACACTTCAGAAGGGAAACCTGTCCTGCAAGAATATGGGGATAGGCTGGAAGAGTGGGCTACCATGGACAAGTATAAGGTCTTGCACCTGGGAAAACATAATCCAGGAGAGCAGCACAGACTGGGGTCTATCGAGGTGGGAAGCAGATATGTGGAAAGGGACTTTTGGGTCCTGGTGGACAACAAGCTCAATATGAGTGAACACTGTGGTGCTTCTGCAGCAAAGGATGTAACAGGATGCTGGGTTGCATCAACAGGGGCATCACCAGCAGAGACAAAGAAGTTATTATCCCACCCTACTCAGCACTCAGATGACACCTGTAATAGTGTGTTCAGTTTTGGTCCCTGCTATACAAAGAGATGTGGACAGGCCAGCCAGGGTCTAGAAAGAGGCCACAAAGATGATCAAAGAACTGGCAAGCATGCCGTATGAGGAGAGGCTGGGAGAATGGGGTTTTTTCAGCTTTGGGAAAACAAGGCTTGGGGGAGCCCTTATCACTATGTTCCAGTACTTACAGTGTGACTACAAAGATGTAGACTCCCTCTTTTACAAGGAGTCCCATGGAAAAGA